CTGAACATATTGCCAGGATTATGTTGCTTACAATTTTCATCACATTGCGCAGGTGGAAATGAGTTCTCAGCAGTTTCCCCGTTCTGGAGCCCCTCCTGCAGGACTAGGACAAGCACCACCCCCAATTTCAAACAGTGATTTCTAAAGCCAGAAATGTCTGCTATTTTGGCATCCAGGAAACAATTTCACCATTCACACTAATACAGGTGTTCATGTGTAGTGTATCAATGTGTTATTAAATAACTGAATAAAATAATATTAAATAAATAATTAAAAACAACATCCATGTTTTGATTGTTTTTTATTTGGACCTCAAGTGTGTAGTTGGCCCCCGAACTGCTGTTTGATAGTTAATGCGGCCCTCGGGCTGAAAAGTTTGGAGACCCCTGTTCTATAGCAACACATTCTATACACCTATTCCCTAGCCACATTCATTCCTAAATACTCACTTCACACACCCATTCATTTTTCACTCACACATCCTGAACACATCTTGCCATTTATTCATTATATACTTCACACTAATTCCTTCCATACACAAAACTCATCACTCCCAGGAGCATGTTTCAGAGGATCATGATAGACAGAATAAACTCAAAAAGCAGAATGGAAAGGGGAAATTAAACACAGAAGTAAATATTCTTACTTTTGTCAGTGGAAGTATGCTATAGCCATAAAAGAAAGACAGATAGGTCTTTCAGTGCTTGGAGGGATCTCTCAGGTGCTGCCCACCACTACAGTTATCTAAGCATAAATTTACCATATAATTTTGCAATACATTTTGGTCCATTACTACTGGGATATCTGTACTACAAGACTGAAACAGTCAAATCATACATGGGAATTGGGGCAAATACTTTATAGAAATATAATTATTTCCTGATAATACATATTGTCTAAGCATTTGGATCTTCAAGTTTCCGATGCATATTGTTTATTTATCAGATGGAGCCAATGCCTGTAACTCTCCTGGTTTGTATTATGTTTGTTAAAAAGACAGGACAGCCATAATGAGACACAAGATAATAGTAACATTGCTAAAAATATTTATAATGCTTGTTCACCTTCAAAGCACATTCCAAATGTAAGTTAACTGATAAACCAAGGACACATCATCAGAAACTCACAATTATAAATATGGTTTAATGCTGACCATGTTAGTATGAAACACATAAAAATCTGTCAGCTCTGTACTCACAGTTCTGTTACAAAGCCTAGAGAACTGTGTGGAATAAATTATTCTGCTGTTTTAGCATGCAGAGATGACTTTTTGAGTTATGTACTGTAATTATCCATTATATCACTCCATTTAGCCTCATTAATCGTCTATTTACTTTTTCAAATATGATGTCACCAATAACAACTACTGTAAATAGAAATGGATTATGCCATCTATGTATCAATATATATTTAGTATAAAATATTTATAATATTCTGTGTATCATATTACCCTCTTTATAGCAAACCATTTTAAATGGTGCCTTTTACAATTTAGTTTCATTAGTTTATTGATCTGTAACACCTGACCACCTGTTATACCTAGTGCTAAACATTTCATTTTCTTCTTGGAGAAAGTAAAAATACATGACTATAAATAATATCTTTATCTGTATTTATATATACGAAGCAGTCAGTTTTCTATTTACTCTAATTGTAAGGCTATTTAGCTACATTAACATAACTTGCAAGTGTAATTACTATTAAAAAAGGTTCTCAATTGAGATTCTATAGTACTATGGTGTCCACACATTGCTAGGGTGCCTCCTATGGGGTGCTCTGGAAATTACTCTTCACACATCCAATGCTCCCATCTGTCTCTTCCTTTCTCCATGATCTCTCTTTGTCTGGGACTCCAGGAGATCCTTTGTGACATAGCCTTCTGGCCAGGTCACTGTAGCCCTCCCCTTTCGGGTACCAAAGTCCCTCCATACAAAAATTAAAGTCTTTCCTTTGCTGCCCTGACCACTCCTTTGGCAACTGGTTAGAGAACCCAGGCCTGCCCTCTTCTCCAAACCCTGGTCAATACTATTATTTCAGAATAATAAGTGGAGTGTCCATAGTACTAAGTCTGTTATTTCAAAATAATAACTTCTTCTTTCCATGAGGAATAATGCTAATTTGGAAATAGCTATTATTACTAGCTTCTGATGTTCCAAAATAACTACTCCCCAGAGTAACTCCAACTAATTAGTCCCCAGTGCTTCCTGGGGCTCTAAATTGAGGTAGCACATCCACATCAACAGACCCTGCCTTGGACTAATTTTGAGGCTTCCCCATAGTGTGGGCACACTAGTTTGAAGTTATTGTTTTGGGAGTTGTTATTTTGAAATAATTTCCTAGTTCCAGCCCAGGGATCCTATCTGTAGAGACAGTGCCCTGCTTACTCCCAGATCATGTTGCTCTTCTTCTGAACCCCTTCATACATCTACTTCCTTCTCAATTATACCTTCTGGCTCTCTGAGTTTACCAGCCCAAACTCCTGTCTTCCAAAATAACTGCAGACTATTTTCCCCTTTCTTTTGCCAATTTCCTGGCTTCACCATAACCCCACCTGTTCCTTTTCATAATTCAGGGAATTACTTAGGCTACCTAATCCCCCTCAGCTATGGCCTATCTGATTAATTGGACCCTTTTCAGCATCATTATCCCCTCTTAGGCTGGTATGGGAAGAACACCCCTTCACAAATAGATACATAGGAATGCTGTTGCATAGCACATACAACACTGACATACACTCGAAACTACCATTTTCATTATCTTAACAAGAGACACACTAAATTCATTCATCTGACCTAATGTAAAGTGTGATAAGATAGCAACACTTTTGTGGAGATGCTGCTTTTAACTCATCAGTGGCATGTTAGGTATTATTCTGCTTGCTGGTGCTATTTATATGCAATAAATAATGATATATTATTACATTTCACTCTTTGCATTTACACAAAGAGTCATCAATCCCAGTCCTCTGTACTCATGGCAAAACCAAGCACCATCTACCCCATAGAGTATGAAGGGTATGATAGTGTATGTAACACAGTATCAGCTACCCTAATAAGCTAAAATGCCAAACCCTACATAAAAAGCCTATAATAATATGACCTGTAAGCCTATAATAATATTAAAGTTGGTGGAAAATTTCCTTTAGCTCAGTTGGCTAAGGATTGAGGCTATGTTTTTGGAATGGAAGAACCTGGGTTAAATCTTCAATGCTGTGATGTAGCTCATAACTAGAGTGAATACATGTGTATAACCACTATCAAGGTACCTCTATAGTCTGTCATTCAGAACTGAATGCTTAGTTTCAATTTTGTCTTCATCTTCTGAAAAACCATCTGCATACTAACCTATGAGATCATTGTGTAACAGATTCTGAACATCATTCTGTTAAGTATATAATTTCAGAATACAATAACAGCAAGACTTTCCCTTGTACAGAGTTTCATTCAAAATATTGTGTATTGCACTACCACTGCACTATAAACTTAATGAAATTGATATGAACACAAATTAATATAATTGTCACTTGTACTCTTCAATTTTAAAATTCTGTTTAGAATTTAGTCTTTTAGTTATTCAACTATTATTAAAGTCAATGGAAGTCACTTAGCTAAAATGTCATTCATCAGAGGCTTTAAACTGGGATTTAAAATGCTAACAAACTCTTTTGAGATTACTGTAGTCATTAAAACTTTTGCAGCTTTGCAAAACTACATATATTTAATTTGTTAGCAAACTCTTCATTTAAAGAATGACAATAGACCTGATAAAGTAAAACATATTTTAATTCCTTTTTAAATGTGCATTTGAATTCAGTACAAATCTGGAAGGCATTCTCAAAGGCCAAAAAACACCCAACATTCTCCCCAGTTTAAGACAATCCATTTTTATGTGCATAAAAATATAACCTAATCTATACTTTATAAAAAAATGAAAATTTAGATATTCTGTTTATGAATGTGTTGGATGTAATGCCTTTTTAGCATGATGACACTACCTCAGAGTAAATATTGGCACGGTCAATGATATTTTGTTGGGGCAAGGGTTTGTAGTGTCTTCATATCCCAGTAAAAATAAACTCTTTAATAAATAAATATATAAAATAAATATATGTCATCTGGAAATGTATAAATAGGTCCATCCTGAAGAAAAGTTCCAGTTCTGACTGAGATGCTTTGACTTCCAAGTTCTGTCATTCATAGTGTAGCCACTATCACTTCTTATATAGTTCTCGGGCTTTATTGATGTTTTACAGCCTATTTCTTACCATGTCATCCAACTTTCTGTCTATTGTTCCACTCCACAGTAGTTATTTTTTTCTCTAGTGTATGAATAATAAGTAATCCAGACAAGTTAGGCACAAGTTTGGTGATTTAAAATAAATCAGACTCAAACCTCCCACTGTCTACTGGAGAGCAAACTTCAAAGAGGCTGGTCCAATCTTAACTTTAAGGCTTTGTCTCCTGTATCCAAACATTAGGAAATTTAGGCTATCACTAAACAGATTGTTAAAATCCACTCTCCTAGAGCCTGGTAACTCTGCAGCATTTGAAAGTCCTTCCTGCGTATTACCATAGAAGCTGTGGTAGGAAAGAATGGGGGATTGGTTTTCTTTCAAATACCCTGATCCATTTCAGCTGTATCCTAATACATCCTTGTAGAGTTCTGGAACTTTTTCAGGATCCACTGGCCTGGGTAGGAAGTGTGTGAATTTCTGATGTCTTTTGGACCTAGCCCCATCTCTTGGAGTTCCATCTTTGTTAAGTGCTACAAAAAACCGCCGACCCGAGTCTCCATGTTTGTATACATTGGAAGAATAAGTGTTATACCAGTTCTCCTCAAACTGTTCTCTGAAGATGCATTCAGAAGTTAATTTCTCCTATTTAAAAAACAAAAAAATAAAATATCAGAGCTCTTGTAGGAGTCAACTAAAACACACATCTCCGGTATTTTATCTGAAACCCTTACAATGAGATTTGGGTATGTACATAACAACAGAAAAAAATATAACACATGACAATATGTTTTCAAGTCTTCCTGTTCTTAAATGGTCAAGAAAATACGGACTGTTCTCTTGAAAATGCATTTAGTTACTAAACATATCCAACATAGAATGGCTTAAATTTCCCTTTGTGCAGGATAGGATGTGGTCACTGCACATACATGTATAAGCCTTCTGGGAAAAAGTATAATGTAACAGATGAGAGAGACTTTCCCATTGGACCTGGAAAATCAACTATTATGGCTCTACCTAATATTCATGACTTATGCTCCCCAACTTTTAAAAAGCATGGATGACTATGAAGACTTGGTAACCTCATTCATTTTGTTGGAAGAAACATAATCATTCATGGCTGGAAGAGGTACTATCATCATCCCAAAGGACTCAGTGTGTATAGTTCATTATTATGATGGACAAAGAAAAGCTAGCACTGAGATGGAAGAATCAGAAACATAAGTGCTAGAACTAGGGATACTGGTGGTACTGCTGCATCCCTGGCTTGAAGTGGTTTTCATTATATCCAGATTTACAGTGTGGGTCAATGGCTCTCAGCAGGCCCACAGCACACACACAATACAAATTGTCCCAACCTCACTGAACAGGAACATATTACCATCTGGTCACCAATTCATACCCATTTGGAGCAACACATGAGGCCTAAAACACTATAGAATATCATGAATTTGACAAGGTAAGCCACAAACAATAGCAATTTACATACTGTTTCCTTTTGGTTTATAAAAAGCTCAGAGTTTGCATTCTATTGTAAGAAAACATTATATTCAGTCACCATGTGTGGTAAGGATATAAGCCAATCAATGACAGGAATGTAGACTTGAAATTCCTATCTGCTTTTGTCAATGAAGTGTGTTTTATTACTACAGAACCTTTGAGTGGACTAGGAAGACAAAGAGCATTTCATCTTTCAAGGTTTGAAAATCGAAATAGAAAAAAATCTGAGTCCATGTTAGTCTGATACTGAGCTAAAGACTATAGTTTGCAGTGTCTAGAGCTGAAATTACTTAACAAAAAATAATAATTTGAAATCATTACAAGCTTATTTCCAACCTTAAAAACAGTTTAACTTTAAATCAGAGTATGGATTAAATGATATTGCCTCTGCTCCTTTATACTCTTTTCTCTTGCTGTTCAAGGGTCTTTTTTCACAAGTTGAAAAAAGCAGGTGCCCCACAGTGCCACCTGCTGAATTATAAGGGATCAGCAGATAATAAATCAAGTAATCCATGGGTTTGCATTTATTTATTTATCTGTAGACTTATCTTTTTTCTGTTTTTCATATTTGTATTTTTATGATGAAACATGCAGTGAGCATGATAGATTTATGGATATTAAAAGATATTAAAAAGAAAATATAAGTAACTGTATTGACTTCCAAGACCTTTTAAATAGGTTACTTTCATTCATTCATTTATTCATTCTTCTTTTCCCTTAGTTTCTTTTAAGAGAAACATTTCTGATTCATTCTCCACTTCCCAAGTTAATGAAATTCTTCTCATGGGCATGCTATTTGACTCAGACTCTAAAGGTTTGAGCTATCATCACTAAACATTGTCAGAGAATGATTGAATGTCACAAATTATATATATATATAATTTCGACAAGAAAGTTAGCATATTGCATTATCTTAGTGGTTTGCTGAGTTTTTTGCCCATTGTTAACAATTGCCTCAGTATGTCTGAAATCCAAATGTGACAGAGTCTATATAAGCTACTACTTACAGATCCATAGAGTTCTCCTTTGTCATTCATTCCAAGATAAAGGCCACTGTCCACTCCTCTAATACTGACCAGTCCTACTGCCACACTGATGAATTCAAGGATACCTAAATGTACACAAAATGGGTAGGGGGGGTTGCTTTAATACACATGTTAAAGTCAAGAAATATGCATATAATATATCAAGAAGCAGGCAACATATTTTATTTGTACACGCTATAGTAAATGTGGTCTAGATACATACATACGTAAGAATACTCCTATTTTACATGACTACAACTGAACTGAATTTCATACCATTTTTAGTTCAAAGCAAACTGAGAAACCTCCACAAGAAAAACAACTATATGCTTTTTTCAGAAAGTCATTTGTTATGACTTACTTAAGAAAGGATTTTATCTGTTGTTGATGAGTTAAAGCTTATTACTTAGGGTATGTCTACACAGCACTGTTATTTTGGAATAACTTATGCTATTCTGAAATAACAAAGAGTACGTCTACTTTGAAAGCTATTATTTTGAAATAATGGCGAGTTGGAGGACTTCTTACTCTGACTCCTGTAACCCTCATTTCACGAGGAGTAAGGGAAGTCGAAGGCAGAGTTTACTTCCTTCAACTTCCTACTGTGTAGACAGTGCGAAAGCTGAATTAAGCTATTTTGACTTAAGCTACACAAATGACATAAGCTGAAGCTGCATAGCTTAATTTGAGTTTTGCCCTGCTTGACCCCTATGATTCAGTTCTATACAATTTCTGTAGATGATTATACAATATTTAATGAGGCATCTGTTCATACTTTGGAGAGTAAGACTGAATTATCTGGAGATATACTTCACTTCTCTGTAGCACTATCTTATGAAACCAACACTTCTGAAATGGATGAAAGTCAAAATAATGATACCATGTGAATGGAAGTCAAACACAGATGTGGAGTTGTATATCAGAGACAGATAATGTGTAAATTATATCTGTTAAAATTGCTACCAGTGTAAACAGAGTCCCAAAGTGAGGTTGCTTTTGATTCACACCTACCACATTACTAAAATAAAAATACAAACTTTTAAAACTGTGATTATATGGAATAGTCCTTAAAATAGTTTGACATGCTTTTTTGTCTCATGCACACAGTTTTACATTCAGACCCATTTTCTATCTTGAGAGGTTAATGTACTGTAATTTATAATCTTTTGAGTTTTAACTGAATTTTGGCATACCTCTTATTTACAGTGCTAAATGACAAACTAGCTAAACCCTTTACAAAGTGCATGCATTAAAAGCTCTGTATTGGATGTAAATCATCACAGATTTTCCAGTTCCTAATGTCCAATGTCCCATAAAAAGACATGGAAGTATTTTGTCTTTCTGATATCATTTTCAAAGCCATTCTTTTTATAAACTATAATAAGCAGGTGATTCAACCCACAAAGAGACCACATCAGACAAATCTTTGGAGAATAGGGTTAGAATAAAGGAAGACCATTTAAAAGGAACACCGCAAATCTTTGATCTTTTTAAAAACATTTTTAAAAGTAATGATTTCATGTTTACATGCTGCAGAAAGTCTCCCTTCTGTGAAGAACTTTTTATGTTTAACGACAGTTCTTTTAGTTCTGAAAACATCAGTACTTCAATGTGTTATAAAATCAGTTAAGGGCCATTCCAGCTGATTGTTTTGACTATGGGAGAATGATAGAAAACTCTTTAATCACCTTTTTATGGCTGCTAAATCAATACAGAAAAAACTCACTGGTGGTCAACAATAGCAGGTTTGTTCAGATAATGCTGCAGTGCCTACATACATTCCTTCTTATTTACCCTTATTTGCCAGGAAACCATTTACATCTTTGGGATGTGTCCCCTCCACCTTTGGTTTATGGACAAACCATTTTTAAAAGGAAACACAAGAAACATTACTATTGTAATTACATTACAGATGTAGCTCTGTGCAATCCCACTTGTAGCTTTCTCTGCCTTGAAAGCAACAAAGCAACCTGATGCAGATTAGAGGTTTAGCAAGATTAACAGTTTCATGATCTTTGTTTAGAACAAGATTTAGAGCACATGCAGAAACAAGTGCGGGACATTAAATTATAGGTACTGCGGGGAGGTGTGCTAGCAGCTAAATACAAATGCAGGTGTAGAGTTGACATATGTTATGCACTAATGAATAGTTGCATGTACATGCCATCTGACATACTCTGTTCCTTCGCCCAAGAAGTGTTTCTAGTTAATAAATGACACAAGGAGAGATGTCCCTGTAGTCTATGGCTGGAATGCAATTTATACTGGGAGACTCGGGTTAAACACCTGCCCAGTGGTACGCGCTGACCGGCTCTGCTGCTGTACTTTGCTAGTAAGTATGTAAGTGTTTCCATCCCAGCGGGAATAGAAACACCTCCCTATGCAGGATGGATGAAGCTGGGCTGTGCGCGGCTGCGGCTGCTACCTACCGAAGAGACTGTGGTCCTGCCTGGTGCCCTGCACGCTGCCATCTGGCAGGAGCTGCAGGTGGAAGCCAGTCCGGCAGTAGAGCTGCCTCCGGCGTAGGATGCCCTGCAAATGGGCTAAATCCGCGGTGCCAGGCGCCGCACCTCCGCCACCTCTGGATCCCCTCTCGGCCTGAGCCAGGCGATCGCTGAGCAGCGCCGGCCTCTCCCCGGCAGGCGGCAGCAGGAAGTGGGAGCCCACCTGCTGCCCCAACCCCTCCAAGCCGCCCAGGAAGCCCCCAACTTCGGCGAAGGGAGCCATGGAAGAGCCCGCTGGAAGGGAGGCGGCTTAACGAGCGCTGGGAAGGAAGGCACAGGCACAATAATCAAAAGAGCTAAACGGTCAGGCAGAGTTGCTGCTGGAGGATCTCAGGCAGGGAGGACTTTGTCCTGGGACAACCGCTGCCTTCTTTGGAGCCTCTTCTCTCTCCGAGCATTGGGAGTCTGCTGCTCGCTGTGCATCAGCATCGAGAGCGGCGGGTGCTGCTGCTCTTGTGTCCCGGGAAACGGGTCAGATTAGCGCTCTGTTTATACACAAAGCCCGTATATATGCTAGTCCCCCCCTGACATATGCTAATGAAGCCCTCTCTTGCCCGCCGGAGAGGTTGCGTTTGAAATTTTAAACCGATCTCTCCTCTCCTCACACCTTTTTCTGATCTGCAGTGACTGTGGGGAGTTCCTGACGTTTCCCAGTGTGCAGAGCCATAAAAATTAATCCTGGAGAGAGAGAGAGAGAAAGAAAGAACTGGCATCCAACTTTGCAGAGCGGTAGCACAGACACTCTCTTCCCCTTTGTTGTTGTTGATGCTGCTGCTGCTCAGCCTCCTTTGATGTGAGTGTTTCGAAGATGATAGATTGCAGCTAGAAGGAGCCCGGCTTGGCAGGGCCTGGAGAAGGAGGGTTGGACTCAGGAGTTGCTTGGAGCTTGCAGTGCATTACGTGGACAGGTGCAAGGAAAGGTAAGAGAGAAGAAGGAGAAAGGGCGTTACCTGAGGGATAGACCTGCCCAGACACACATGAAAGAAAAAACAAAGATCTAACAGGTTTTATTCCCTGATTTTAAAACACTAATAAAATGTACATGCATTACCCTTTCCTTTTATCACTTAAGTTCCAAAGTAGGGGATTTTTAAAAAAAAATAAATTGCATAATTAGGAATGTTTTTCCCCTCTGTAAAACTCTTTCATATTTAATTTATCAGAAATGTGACATAATATTGGTTGGTTTTGTCATATTGGTGGCATATTGGTGACATATTGGTTGGTTTTAAAACTTCAGTGAAATAGACCAGTGATTTCTTATGATTACTTTTAAATCACATGGAGAGGAAGAGGGAGGTTATGGTGTGAGAATAGGTGCACAGTACCGGCTCCCATAGAAAGAGATGATATATCCAATCCATCTATGTACTGCTTGCATGGTCCCCATCATCACGATATAGGAGCATCTACAGTTTAACAATAGTCCGTTTAAATATGTTTTATTTCTTGCATCAATAACATTCAGATCTCTTTGAGGCTGATTTAGGACTATGCTAACCTGAGATAGCTGGGAAAATGCATTTCTAGCTAGCAAGTGAACAGTATACAATGACATTGATATTTAAAAACAATTATATTAAAATGTTCAAGGCTTGGCTTTTACACTTCACTGATTTTTTCATGTTTAATAGTCAATTTAAAACATTTAATACTACCCTAAAGTATATCCATTAGCATGCAAGTATTGCAACATGTGCCCTCACCAGTATTAATGTATTATGGTGTAAAACCCAAAGATCTTTCATATTTAAATCTTTCAAAGGCTTGAGAAAGTCACTTGGCTTGTTTAAGCTTTCATTTGAACAAAAAGTTGTAGAGACTCATGAAAGATTAGTTTTTCAGTCTTACTCCATGGTCTTTTCAGTCACAATCTAAATCTGGGAGATCAAATGGATTTGACTGCTTCACTGTATTTGCTGTGGAGAATATGGGGCTAATTAATTGGCAGGTGCTTTAAAGCAGGTAATGCTACACCTTTTCATCACTGCAGTCCTAAGTACTGTCCCTGTATGCACCTGAGTTATAAAAAGGGTTCTTTAAAGCAAGTGATTTACTGTGAAGGGATTTAAAACCAAAAAACTCATACTAAATACAATGATCAGATAAATCACCTCAGAAGAGACCCCGGTCAGACCTGCTCTGAAGGCTGTTACAGATAGATGTTATATTATTTTACCTTTCAAATAACAGGAGTCTGTCATGTGGTGGGACCCAAAAATCCACCATAATCGACATTTCAAAGCACATCTGTGTAAACATTACCACATCAGTGTAAAACATCAACCAATGAAATTTCTCTTTGAACCAAATCTTAATTGCAGTTCTAAATCAAATAAATAGATCAAAGTTGAGTGATCAATATAGCACCAATTTCTCAAGTAGCCTGTACACTGATTATTTAGATATCTAAAACATTTGAAAAACAAATCAAGTGTTCTTACTGACTTGACAGTTAACTGAATAAACTGTAATTAATTTAGTTCAGCACGAAGCTGCTGGACATATACTGAAACACATAGTAAGGGGAATAGCCCACTGAACCTACTGCTCCTCCAATTAAAAGTTCCTGGTTCTCAGTAATATTATCTGAATATAGTAATCACTGGTTAGTTTCTACTGTGTGATTATCTGTACCAGAGGTTTTCTCAAATATCATCAGCCCTTCAGATACTTTCTTGATAAGAAAATTATTCTTGTTTCACAAAAGAGAAGTTTTAAGTAGAGTGAAATACAAAACATAGCCTTTTCCAAGCGGAATCTTTAATGTCTGGCCGCTGAACCGGTTATGCTATTTTATAAAGTACCAGAAAAGAAGCAAAAAGATAAGGATTTTTTGTTGTTTGCACTAGTCATGTGACAGGAAAAGATAACACTAAAGATTTTCTGCACATTCTGTGACGATATCACGGGAAGTTAAATAATTTTGAAGAGTGTTTTTACAAGAGTACATTATTCAACTTTAAGCATACACTACAATCTAATCAACTTTACTTATACTTCCTAGAGACCACACTTTCAATGTTGTTAAACAAACACATACGTGATCCAATTTGCAGACAATATAATTACTATATATTTTCTAAGACTACTATATTGTCCAGAGCAATTGTTGGTGACTACATGCAGAGTAGAGGAAGGAGCTGATTGATAACTTTTATGTGTTCATACATGTATCGCATGACACAGATGGAAAAACCCCATATAGGCTGTAAAGATTTAAATCTTGCAATTTTACTGTGCTTTACTATTTAAAAATACTCCTTGCAACAATGACAGCTCTGAAACAAAATGTGTATTGCCTACCCAAGTTACCAAATTTTATCTGCATCTCTACAAAAAACAGGGTGTAGGTTATTTTCAATGGACAATAACAGCAGAAGATAATGCAGGTATTGAGGACAGAATCTTTCCCATTGAACTTGAGTAAGCCATAAATGTATTCAATATTCACTGGGGGAGGGGGAGAAAAGTAATTTTTCAAACTATATCCCAAAATCAGGCTCAGATTTCTATAGATAGGAAATGAAATTCCACTACTAGTAGTTTATGTTCCACATATGCTGATGGCCAGAAATTAAACATGCATGTAGTGGATATCAGATACTTCCTTGGCTTGTTCACTACTCTGAGTAAAAACAGCAACACTTTTCCTACAATTTCTAGAACAAATGAATCTGTACAAAAGGTAGCATCTGTCACACACATACACACATTTTATATCTATCTATCTATCTATCTATCTATCTATCTATCTATCTACAGACACACAAAATAATTTCTGAGGCCACACTAATATATAATGCACCGAGCAGGTGTATATATGAACTTTGGGAGAATACTACAGCAATGTGTATATGGAAAGCAGTGCCAAAAAAGAAGACTTAGGGATCATGGTGCACCTGAGCCCATAGTTGGATGGAGTGGTTGAGAGCATGAGTGTGATTCTTAGGGTGTATCTATACAGCAAAGTTATTTTGGAATAACTGTTATTCTGAAATAACTATGTGAACGTTTACACAGCAATTCCGTTATTTCAAAATAATTGAAATAATGGAAGGCTTATTCCAACTTCTGTAAACCTCAGTCTATGAAGAATAACTCCTATTCCGAAATAGCCATTTCAGAATATGGGCTGTGTAGATGTTCCACTTCTGCTATTTTGAAATATAATGGCCCTGGTGAGGGACTAAGTTATGCTTTCTGAGGCTCTAAATCATGATAACATGTCTACATTAGGGAAGCCTGCCTCGGATTAATTTTGAGGCTTCCCTGCAGTGTAGACATGCTATTTCAAAATAACTATTCTGGAATAGCTTATTTTGAAATAACTGTGCAATGTAGACGTAGCCCTAGATACACGAGGAAAGGAATATTGAGTAGAAATAGGTAGGTGTTATTACCCCTTCATGTAGCAATAGCTAGACTATGGCCGTGTCCAGTTCCGGTATCTACACTTTAAATAGGATGTTGACAAACTGAAAAGAATTCTGAAGATAGATTCAAGAATTACTTGAGGGTCAGAAAACCTGCCTTAGAGTGACAGACTAAAATCTCAATCTATTTCATTTATCAAAGAGAACATTAATAAATGACCACATCACGGTCTAAAAGTACCTTCAAGAAGAGTAAATTACTGATAATAATGGACTCTTTAATTTAGCAGACCAAGGCATGACTAGACCAAGTGGCTAGAAGCTGAAATCAGAAAATGTCAGACTAGAAATACAGGCAGTCCCCGAGTTACGTGGATCCGATTTATGTCGGATCCGCACTTACGAACGCGGCTTTTCTCACCCCGGAGGATGCGGGCGGGGGGGGCAGCCAGACATGCCGAGGTCCCGCCGCCCTTGTCCTCTGGGGCCAGAAAAGCTGG